AATGGGGCATTGCAGTTATAATCCGACTTCACTTCAGCTCCATTAGGGGAGCTCTCAATGTGCTCTGGCATTCTGTAGATGTGGTGCTTGATTCCACACTGGGATTAGTGCAGTCCCCAGATACCAGCCTTATGAAGTCTGGTCACAGTGTCTGACCCAAGTGGCAGCAACGATTTTAGAGAAGCTAGGAAGGGGGACATGAAGCTGATATTTGAGGTCCTATGCTATACTACAGTCTCACTGTGATCCTTAGAATGAGCCTATACTATAGAAAAGGGTTGTCTTTGTTATATGTGCACAGATGGGACTTGGATTCATCACTAGCCACTAATGCTCTGAGCTTTGTTTCCTCACTCATTCCTACACAGTTGCTGTCATAACTCAGGTCCTGGACAAATGTTCAGAACTGTGGAGTACTTCTGACTTCACCGTATTTGCTAGTCAGTAAGGTAGTTCACCACAGTTTACTATGTGGGCATAAAACCCTGGACTCTCAGTTTGGAGATCAAAGGAGGCCGTTAGGTAGTGTGAGCTTTGTGTTTGCACCAGTTCCTACATATGCACGCTCTTTGGGAGGGATCTGGATCTACATCATAGCCCAGAAAAATCTCAGATCAGGGCACCCAAACCTTGTCTAGAGTTGGACAGTAAACAAACCTGCCTTCTCCTCTTATAATTTTAAGTTATTATGTGTTAGTCCCTTTTGTGCTAGTATAATAGACTCTCTGAAATGGGGTAATTCATAATCAATTGAAATTTATTGGCCCACCATTCTGGAGGCTGAGAAGTAGTTACAGAGTTTGTCTCAATATTAATATTTATAGCTTGTTCTCCTAGCTACAAATTTTGTGAGGGGTAGACCTGGATCTTGGTGATTCCTATGCCAGTTCTCTCTGAAAATAGAATGGGTGGATGAACATGCCAGGGATTGTTCTCAGCACCAATATGCATCCACAGTTTCTTTTCATGTCACCTGTACTGGTGCAGGAAGGGACTTTCTTTTTTTTGTTGTTGTTGTTTTTGTTTTTTGTCGGTCATGGGGTTTGAACTCTGGGCCTGGGCGCTGTCCCTCAGCTCTTCAGCTCAAGGCGAGCGCTCTACCACTTGAGCTACAGCGCCACTTCCGGTTTTCTGGTGATTTATTGGAGATAGGAGTCTCACAGTCTCTCCTGCTGGAGCTGGCTTTGAACCTCGATCCTCAGATCTCAGCCTCCTGAGTAGCTAGGATTACAGGCGTGAGCCACCAGCGCCTGGCTTGGGAAGGGACTTTCAATACAGTCATGGAGAGGCAGGTTTGAAGAAGCAGTGTGCTTTGCTAGTTCTCAAGCCTTGCTCTTATTATTTAGCATTGTAGAGACCTTTATTTTTTTCCCTGGAGAACATTTATACTTTATCTTAACCTATGATATACATGCATATATAGCATATTTCACTTTAACCTATGTTTTACACATGCACACATGTGCATGCACACACACATATATGGACATATATGGATGTATACATATATGTACATATATATGGTGATACTGTGGTACTGATACTGTGATACTGAGGTTTGAAGTTGCTAGGGAGGTGTTCTACTATTGGAGCCATGCCTCTGGTCCTTTAGCATTTTCAGATAGAGTCTCACACTTGCCCGTGGCTGATATTGGAATGTTATTCTCCTACCTCTATCTCCCATAGAGATGGGACTATGGGTAGCCTTCTGGTCCTGGGGCTTCAACTCAGGTGTTGCCCCTTGAATTTGCTTGCTCAAGGCTCATACTCTACCACTTGAGCACAGCTCCACTTTTAGCTTTTGGGTGGTTAATTGGAAACAAGAATTTTGTGGACTTTCTTGCCTGGGCTGGCTTTGAGCCATGGTCCTCAGATCCCAGCTAGGATTACAGGTGTGAGCCATTGACACTTGGCTCACTTAAAAACATTTTTTTTTCTGAACTGTAAGTCCTTCCCTTTCCTTTTTCTGCTCCCTGGCTCTCCCAGCTCCTTGGCTCTCCCCAGCTCCCTGGCTCTCCCCAGCTCCCCACCTCCCCTCCCCTCCCTCCCTCCCTCTCTCTCCCTCCCTCCCTCCCTTCCATTGTCATGCAAGGTCTTGAGCTTGCTAGACAAGCCCTCTTAATGCTGAGCTATATCATTAGTCCCCAAAATGTTTCTTGAATGAAACTAGGAATGTTGGGTGAGACTAGACCAGCCTTATGTTACTTTCATCATATATTGTTTTTATTTAAATTAGTAAAGTTTTTAGAGCAGTTCTAATTCCACAGCAAAATTGGGCAGAAGGTGGTGTTACCATGTATTTTCTGTCTCATGCCCATACAACCTCCCACTACCAACATCTCCACATTACAATAGTACATTTGTTAACAACTCATTACTCTACACTGATGATCAGCAATACTCAGAGTCCACAGTTTATATTGTCTGTATTGGATTTTGTGAGTTTAGACAAGTGTATAATACCATGAATCTACCATTGTGGTATCATACAGAATAATTCCACTGCCCTGAAAATCCTCTCTGCTCTGCTCAATTGTCTCAACCTCTGACAATCACTGTTGTTTTTTTTTGTCTCTCAAATACTATATAATTGAAATCATGCAATATAGTAGTTTTAGTTTAGCTTTGTTCCCTTTTTCATAGATATTTAAGTTTCCTCCATGTCTTTTCATGGCTTGGTAGGTCATTTCTTTCTAGCACTGTACAGTATTCCATTGTCCTGAGACTAAAGGGTATCTTGATTGCTTCCAAGTTTTGGCAATGAAAAATGAATTTGTCACAAACAACTTTGTGCAGGTTTTTGTGCAGATACATTTGTTGTTGTTGGTTGTGGGGCCTGAACTCTAGGCCTGGGCGCTGTCCCTCAGCTCTTCAGCTCAAGGCTAGCGTTCTACCACTTGAGCCACAGTGCCACTTCCGGTTTTCTGAGTGGTTTATAGGAGATAAGAGTCTCAAGGACTTTCCTGCCTGGGCTGGCTTTGAACTGCTATCCTCAGATCTACTGAGAAGCCAGGTTAACAGGCATGAGCCACTAGCACCTGGCTATATTTCTTCATTTGGTATGGATAAATACCAACAACTACAACTGCTGGATAAAATGGTATAAAGTAAATTTAATTTTGAAGGAAACTACAAGTCTTCTAAAGTATTTGTACCATTTTTATATTTAAATGATGACATAGGATATGGGAGCATTTTCCATATGCTTTTATGAGATACATACTGCTTTCTTTGATGTCTGTTAAAGTTTTTGATCCATTTTTAAGCCAGGTGGTTTTACATTCTTATTCTTTAGTTTTACGAGTACTTCATTGGAATGGCACTGTGGCTCAAAGTGGTAGAGCACTAGACTTGAGCAAAAGAGCTTGGGAACAGTGCCCTTTTAAAAAAATTAACAGAGGATAATTTTACAGATTATAGAATTCTAGGGTGGATAATTTCTCTCCTTCTTCTCAACAGTAAGTAAATATTTTACTTAACTAATTTTGCTTGTATGGTTTCTGGAAGTCAGATGCATTTGTTATCTTTGTTCCTCCTTTGCTTTTCTTTTTCAAGAGTCCCCCCCTCCCCCCACTTTATTTTGGCATTTATCCTTCTTGCTGTTTTTGTTCTTCCTGAAGTTATGGTTTGATGTCTGACATTAATGAGGGGTACTTTTCTCCAATGATCAGATACCTTGTTTTCCCCATTTTCTTCCAATTCCTTCTCTGTTACTCTCACTACATTTCTATCAACCTTGGTAGTTATACTATGAGTTCTTGGATGAGTTTTTCCCAGTCTTTCTCTCTTTGCATTTCACTTTTGGTAGTTGCTATTGCTGTAGTGTCAAGCTTAGACATTCTTCCTTTTGCTACCTACAGTCTCCTAAGGAGGCCAAAGGATGTTCTTCACTTCTGCTACTCTTGCATTCATTTCTGGGTCACTACCTTTTCTTGTTAGTTAGTTGTTAGAATTCCCCTCTCTGCTTAGATTGTCTTATTCTCACACATGGCCTGCTTTTTCTAAGGCCTTAGCATTTAAATTGTAGTTCATAAAAATCTTCTGATCTGATAACTCCCAATTTGATAGCCACAATGACTTGTTCTGATAATTATTCAGCGCCTTGTAATTGTGTGTGTGTGTGTGTGTAACATTGTGGGTAAGGTATTGGGAGCCAGGAAGCATTCATCTTTTTGGAGTCTGTATTCCTGTGAATGTAACTAATGCTTAGGAGTTGCACCTCTTGCTCAGGTGGGGTAGGAAGGGTAGAGGATGCTCATGGTGGATATTTCCCCTTCCTCAGGTAGATTAGGCTCTGGTAAATCAACTTCTAATGAAGGCAGCCTTGTTATGAAGATCAGAATGATCTTTAGTGTTTGAAAATGGGTCTTCCATTCCCACCACTTCCAGAAAGCACAAAGTGAATTCCTCAGTGTACACTATAAGGACTGAATAAAACTCCTGATGTTAATAAACTTACATGAGTGTGAACCCTTGCTCTCCGCCCTGCTCATTGAGAGTACTCCCAAGAGTGAGGACTTCTCCACTGTGAGCCTCCAGCAGTTTGTCAGCTACCCTTTAAGTTTTCCTACCCGTAGTTCCCATTCTGGTAAGCTGTGATTACTGTATTTTCCTTTCTTTGGAACAGCATTCAACCTTGTGACTTCACTTCTCTAAGAACTGTTGCTGGGCAATCGTGGTTCACTTCTTTAATCCAAGCTACTTAGGAGGCTGAGATCTAGGATTCAGGTTTGAAGCCAGCTCATGAGGGAAAGCCCATGAGACTCTTATCTCCAATTAACTATCAAGACAAAACCAAACCAAACCAAACCAAAAGCTGGAACTGGAGCTGTGGCACAAGTGGTAGAGTGCTACCCTTGAACATAAAAGCTCAGGGGACAGCACCCAGGTCCTGAGTTCAAGCCCTAAGACTGGGACACACACACACAGCACACAGGAATTACTGATTTTTCTTTCCGTCTTTTTTCCATGTTTTCTCCATTTTCTTTCGTCAGATGAAGGAGGAACCTGAGCCTGAGAAGGTGTTCACAGCACGTTGCCGAGCAAGTGTGACATTCCAGACAAGTGGAGAGTCATGGAGAGAGCAGAAAGAGAAGCGAGCAGCCATGATGGTGGGGATTCTGATTGGGGTGTTTGTGCTGTGCTGGATCCCCTTCTTCCTCACAGAGCTCATCAGCCCTCTCTGCGCCTGCAGTGTCCCCCCAATCTGGAAAAGCATCTTTTTATGGCTTGGGTACTCCAATTCTTTCTTCAACCCCCTGATTTACACAGCATTTAATAAGAACTACAACAATGCCTTCAAGAGTCTCTTTACCAAGCAGAGATAAAAAAGAGCTGGAGAAAAACATGTGTGCTGTTGTATTTCTTCTCACCAATGATGTAGAAGCCGTCCTTTCACAGCTAAACACGAATGATGTTCTGAGAGTCAGACCACTGGGCCTGGACTGTAGAAGAAGCAATGTTAAATAAAGGCTCTCACACAGAGACAGCAAATGTATGACAATGTGCAATTTTGCCTTCTACATATGTGCTTACTTAGGTACAGGGCCGATGGTACTAATTGATCATGGACTACTTTCCTAGTGAGCAGAAACCCCACCTCTTAATTTTCTCAGAACAACACCGTAGGTGGTTACTAATTGGTTAGAACTGATGTAAACATCAAAGCTGAGCTGCATTCTCTTTGTCTAACAGCATGTTCCTCAGTGAGGGTCTTTTAGCCCCATCAGGAGTCTGTTACCTTGTGAACGATCTAGCTACCCTATTCAACCAGACTCAACTTGACTTTCTCAGCTTCTTAACACATTCCCAACAAGACTGTGTATCTCAATTCATAAGATGAGGATAATCTAGTGCAATTTATATGACTGAGTCAGATTCTTAAAGAGGAGGTCTGATGATATAGTACCATGGTCTTAATGGTTTTTTTTTTTTTTTAAAACTAGTGGGGGATGCCACTGGATACTTAGGTTGCTCTTTGGACTAGTTAAATTAGAATTAATTCCTGGAAAGTGATATAAGCAGCAGCAAGTGTGGGCAGAGGTTTGAGAACTCCTGGTGAGGTCTTCTCTTTCTCTCTGTGGTGTGTGTGTGCGCACGCACATGCACGAGCAAGTCCCGGGGCTAGAACTGTCTGGCTGCTGTCCCTGAGCTTTTGTGCTCAAGGTTATTACTCTACCACTTGATTCACTCACAGCTCTACTTCCAGCTTTCTTGGTGGTTAATCAGAGGTAAGTCTCATAGATTTTCCCGTCCAGGCTGGCTTGGAGCCACATTTCTCAGATCACAACCTCCTGAAGAGCTAGGATTTATAGGTTTAAGTTACTGGTGCCTGGCTTCGCTCTGCTTCTCTATCAAAGGGATAGCAACTATAAGAAATTTCCCATTTGAATGTCTAATAAAAATACTTTTGAGGCATTCTTTTCTAGGCTCTGAATCATTTTCCTCATGACACACAAAATAAAATGCAAAAATGATGATTGCTGTAGGACTCAAGAATACCACCAACAAAAACTCTATGTAATTACTGAACATGTTTGTACCTGCAAGCTATCTCTTGTTATATGTCTATGGCTCATCTGGGTTTCACTATTCTTGCTGACTCTTCTGAGCTTAGGTTGGAAGTTTGGGTTATGACTAGGACTCCATGTCCCCCATATATACTTAGAGCCAGCAAAGAATGACCTGCTCAAAAGAGAAGAGCAAGGGAGGAGTCAAGCCAAACATATAAACGTAGTTTCAGAACACACAGGCAAGTAAAAGTCTGAAACCAATGGATGGAGAATTACACTAGAGGCCTCTCCAATGGGATATATGAAGAATAAGTGAGCTAGCACTCAGAATTTTAAGGGAGAATGTAAACAAAACAGAACAAAACAGTTCAGGATAATACAAGAACTCTTGTGAAAGTTGCTTCAGTTGCATTTTCACCTGGCTTATTACAATGGCCACTTAACAAGGTTCCCTGCTTGTGCCCCTTATGGTCTGCAGTGAACAAACATCACATGCTATTTGCTCTGCCTAGAACCTTCCTCACCCAGGTCTCTGTCTTTGATAGGTATCTTCCTTAGCTTCTGAGTAAAGGGAAGACATTATAGACCAAACTAGACACTCTTGATCCTTCTTCCTAGCTTCACTCATCCTGTTGAAGCAACAAATGCTCTTATTTGTTTTACCACTAAAAGGGGGGTTTTACTAGTTTCTCTAGTGCATCAGTCTCTGCTGTAGTCCCAGTGCTGGAGATAGAAAGTCATATTTTGTTGGCTGAATGAACCAGTTAACCATTGCTTTTTTTTCTCATAGAAGAACATGGAGGTAAGTGGACCTCATGGTGGTTCACATTCTCATGCCTTTAGGGAAGCAATGCTTTCCATCTTTTCACTCTGCTTACTAGTATGTCAGTATGTCTTAAGGTCTCAGAATGGCTGAAGTTGCTCAAATCTTGTCCTTTCCTCCATAACTTGAGAAAACAGGAAAAAGAGGCAGAAGATTTACTCTTATTGCCATTGGCAGAAAACTCTTTCCTAGAGGGCTTATCAGTCTCTTACAGCCATATTAGGGTTAGACACCTGTCTGTAAATTAATTCTTAGTAAAGAGGAATGGAATTGATATAACTCCTTTAGAAGAACTCTCATTATTCCTTTCTTGCAACTGGACAAAACAGTTGTACTGAAGGAGAGATACAGGATTTCCCACCTATTGGCAGATTTCCTTACAAGATGGGCATGCTAGCCTGTGACCCACTTGTCTTTTGTGGGCACATAGATAACACTGTGATAGTCACAAGAGTAGGCATCAATGGGACAGCCTCAGTCTGTTGTCAGGACCCAGCTTCACAGTCCATTTCCCCATCCCTCCTTGTAGTCAACATACACAACATACACAAGTGTTTCACCTCTCCAAAGCTCTTCAATCAAAAGAGGCATGGCCCACTGTCCTCAAGACCCACACAATGGAGTCTAGCTGCTTCTGACTCAAAGCTTTACCTTCTTTATGAAAACTGACAAGACACCAGGAGCTTCTTCCATTGTTTTTTCAAAAAACTGAAGCAAATTTACAATTTTAAAAAACTTTATTTTTGAAGAGATAATATATGCACGTGTACACAATTCAAAAGGTACAAAAGGCATACAGTGAAGTCACTCCCACCCCTCTTCCCAGAGGCAATGAAGGCCACCAAGTTGTTGTGTAACTTCCCAGAGATACTCGTCTACTTGCATATGTAAGTAGATATCACTGACACACACGTGAGTATATGTAGACACACACACACATACATCTACACACATGTACTGACCCATTTTTTGCCATTCCAAACACTGCTATACAATACTCAGCATTCCCCCTCCCCCCCCACTTAACCATGCAGCCTGAAGATTATCGTATGGCCCATATACCCAGAGCAACTCATAGGGAATGGCCATAATTTATTTCACTGCTGAGGGGAGTTTTCAACTTTTTGCTACTATAAACAATGCTTCGGTAAAAATCCTTGTGAGTGGGAACAATTGTTAGACATGGTATTGCTGGTTGTGCACTTGCGCTTGTGAAGATGTTATCCAGCTGTCCTCCATGGAGGCTGTTAGTCTCACGATTCTGCCAGTGCTGTACTGAGTGCTTCCTGCAGCCTGTCCCACTGTCCCACTGCTTGGTTTCATGTGACTGAGACATTTCTACCAGTCAAGTTACCTTCAGATTCATGAAAAATCTTGAGACAAAACATATTCACAATCCTATCTGAAAATAGTATTTTCCTTTTCTGTTTTCCTCCTATAGAGGGAGGAAAAAAGTTTCTATAATGTAATTCCTTCAAAAAGTCTGAAAACTCTTGACACCGTTTTCCATTTCAACCTTCAAGGTTAGAGAATAATAAACACACTGAGCAAGAGCTGCTAAAGATGCTGAATAGAATTGCTGACCTATTTCAAACTAAGCATAAATTAGAGGAAAGGTTAAATCTAAAATTGGCTACTATAGGGATGCAAAGCTGCAATCTGGAGAAGCCAATTTATCCAAGCAGTATTTCCTGAGGAGACCATAGTGTGACAGGCACGGTCCCCTTGCTTTTGCTACCCTTACACATTCTCGAGAAGAGTGCAGTTAAGAGACCTTACAAAGGACTAAGAGACATTCAGGCAGCAACTTGTGCCATCAAGACAACTTTCTTGCATCGCCATCTAGACAACAGGGCACAGGCAAAGTTAAATGCAAATCAAGGCAAAGTTAAATGGGTTTGTGCATGTATTAGGCTATCAAGAAAAAAACTCATTGCCAAAGATCTCAGAGGGGACTGAGCTCCAGGCATAGGGAATGTCCATGTAGGGTGAGATTGGCCTCATATAGGAAACTGACAAAGGCTGATATTAGGACTCAGCGTACTCCTTGTGTTGTCAAGCAAGCTGCAGACCAAGTACCAACTCTCCTCTAATGATCTCATACCATATGATTATAAAATTACTTCTTAAACATTACTTTCAGCCTACCTCTGTGTGTCATACGAAGGTTTGCTCTCAGTGTAAAAGACCAAGAGGGCATGAAATTCTAAGATGCATGAAACAAAGCACTTCCCAGGCCATGCCCAACCTCAGAGACAGACAGTGGTAGCCATGCTGATGAGCTCTTCACTGCACTGTTCAGTGGTAAGATGTTCTTTTGCCCATGGCCAACACTGACTATGAGTAAGTCATAAAGAACTTCTTAAAGTGTTTTTCTGCATAGCATCCCTCAAACCAATTACCAGAAATCAGAAGGAATTCAGTCTTGGCCTAAGTAAGTGGGAGAAGTTGCTGTCTCAGCCACAGTGAGTGGTAAAAGTTATTGCTAGAATGCCTGGCTCTTAAACTGAACATCAGTTGGTCACCTGTAGAGCAGGTAAGATAGGAAAGAATAAGAAGCAACAGAAATCCAGGTGGACCAGACTGCAGACCAGGCAGACTGACCCAAATGCTCTTACAGGCAGATTTGCTTTGTCACTATAGCCGTGGTTGGGGCCTCTCAAGGTGACAACCCCAAGGCCACAGGAATGGTCCCCTTGTGAGGTAGTAAAAGGAATTCCTACATATACTAGTTATTGCAAATAAGGGAAACCATGGGACCTGTTTCTTTGGGCCTGGCTTACTTCACTTAATATAATTTTTTCCAAGTCTTTCCATTTCCTAACACATGGGGCATGTCATTCTTTCTGATGGAGGCATAGAATTCCATTGTGTATATATACCACATTTTCATGATCCATTCATCTACTGAGAGGCATCTGGGTTGGTTTTATATCTTAGCTATGGTAAATAATGCTGCAATAAACATAGTTGTGCTGGTAGCTTTAGTATG